ACCAGCAAGTTCGATGGCATACTTTTTTCCCGTCCCAAGGAAAAGAATAGATTTTCAGAGAACACGTATACTTTTTGGTGCGGTTCGGTTTTTTGAAGGAGGTTGTGCGGAATACTTTTTCGTGCGGAGTACTTTTTTGAGGCTAGGTTGGGTTCGGTGGTGCGGAATACTTTTTGGGCGGACTACTTTTTTGGGTTCCGGGTTTAGGGTTTTACGGGTCTTTGTTCGGGGGTTTTATTTAGGGGTTCAGGGGGATTCGGGTTTCAGAGGGAGGCACCGCTGCATCCTGTCAGCTTCGACCACTGCAGAGGCACATGTAAGCACATATATATATATATATGTATATACACATAATATAGGGTGTGTGCTTACTTTAAATTGGTTTATATAGGGTCTTTACAGGGTTTCTAAGGTTCCGGTTTTGTGCCCACCCGAGTTTCTTGCACACAATGATGTGTATTTATATACGCAGACTGTCCCATGCATGCTTAGACACATGTACATGTATATACATACACCATGCAAAAGCCCCGTGGAGATCGCTCCAATTTAATGCCGATCGAAGCCTAATTAAATCCACCTGTGCTCTTCATGGTGGGCGAATTCAGAATCTTGGAGGTGCGCCCTTCCCCATGCCGCTTATGTTGCTACATGGTGCTTTGTGTGCTGGGTGTGCTCTTGGCTGGATTGCTAAACCCCTCCCCTGTAGCTGTTTTTCCTCGCAGCATAGGTCAATTTGCAGTGGCAGGTTGCATTTCAGAAGACAGTTTGCAGCTACAAGCATGTGCAGACACGGTGTTCAGTTCAGGAATGAATATTGCAGTGCTGCAGTGAGTGCTCCACTTTTTGGGGCCATGGCGAAACCGGCTCCAGTGCAGGACTTGCACATGTGCTGGGTGAAGGATAGATCCATCTGTGCACGTGTGGATCAGGGAGGGCGCTTGTTTCAAAGCAGGGATGGGCTCTTTGCAGAAGCTTCTGAACTTCATTGTGTGGAGAATCGGGCCTTGCTAGAGCCCTACATGATTCGGATGCGCAGGGCTAGGTCCTTGGATATCCCAGACTTGGAGTCCTTGAAGTCAGAGCTCACCCTTTTGCACCAAGCTCGCATCAATCAGAAGCAAAGGGGTGGGAAAAAGCCAAAGGCATCGTTGGAGGCCAGTTTGGAATTGGTACAAGGCAATGTTCACCTTGATGGCAAGACCCTGAAGCGCCTGCTATCCTATGCTCGCTACCGCTTTCTTAAGACCACTTCTTTCAGCAGAATCAAAGAGACTTTGCCGCACTGAATTTCGAGTTTAAAGCAACTTGATCGAGGTATCGATGCATCCATGGGGTGTTGGCTTGGGTTTTGTAGTGTTTGCTTGTGCTCAGAACTGGGACTTCGCAGACTTGCTCAGATGTTGGGGTGAGAAGGCCTCTTCCCTGCAATTAAAGGGTGCATGCATGGATTGCAAGATCTCCCAGATCCCCTTAAGAGATGTATGCATTTTAAGGACAACTATGTCACCAGCGGTAAGAAGAGCCGTTGGACTCTTGATGAGGAAGATGAAGCTGCAGGTGTGCATGATGCTTTACAGGAGAATGATGAAGGGGAGGAGGAAGAGGAATTGGAGGAGGACGAAGAAATTCCTTTGGAGGATGAGCCAGTGAATCCCCCCAGCAAGGCAGTGAATCCGGTCAGCAAGGCAGTGAATCCCCCCACCAAGGCAGTGGATCTCCCCAGCAAGGCAGTGAATCCCCCCAGCATGGCAGTGGATTTCCCCAGCAAGGCAGTGGATCCCCCCAGCAAGGCCAATCGCTTGCCTATGCATGCTGACAGCCAGAAATCTTTCAGTAGTTTGGCAAGCAAAGCTTCTTTGGCTTCCACTGTGATAGAGACACCGGAGCGGGTACTGGACCCCATCCTCCCAAAAGATGGGAAGCTGACCCCCTCACCTGTTGCCATGACTGTGAAGGAAGTGCTTCTTGTGGTCGATTCACCAATGAAGGTGGTTAAGCAGGAGCCGCGAACGGATAAGGAGTACGCCAACGGCCGGGCAGGTGCTGAGCCTTTTGATCGCGAGCTTGCACTCAAGGAGCTGGCGATGCTTGAAGCGAAGATGTTTCGAAGCTTTAAGTTCATATGATAGCTCTTATTTTTTGATGGATACAATATGGGATTGCATGAAACATCTTATCACCGTTTAAAAGCATGCATGTGTTCTTTTGCGACAACCAAGTTTACAGATTGACTCCGCACGTGTACATGACCCCCCTACTGTGGACAAGATCCTTCGATTCTTGGTCAGGTTTTTGATAGATTTGAGTTCGGATGGCCATTGAAGGTTTTAGTTGCATTCATGTTCCAGCAATTCTTTGTGCATTGTGCAATATAGGCACCATGTTTGCTGCCAGAGTTTAGGACGACCACCATTCGAGATGACCGATAATGTGGAGACACAGGTGGCAACGGAGAGCCAGCTCATGGATGCAGCTGCACAGCTTGCACTGGCCATCACCCCTGAAAGGCTGCCAGGTGTTCCTGGTCCAAGAATGAATCAATCGGGCTGGGTAGTTTTGTTGAGGTTTTCGTAGTTTCCCCAAACAAGAAAGTTTTTGACGGGCCACCAGGTTACTGATGGCCGGGACGCCCTCCAGGAGGAGACTGGGCTTCGTGTCGAGGATCCACCCGCTCAGTGGCTGCATGTGTGGACAGTCTTGTTGTTTGTGTGGTTTCGTCAGATTAAAGTTAGCATCCGAGGCTGTGTCTGGGGAGCGCGAAGCTATGGCTGTTGAAGTGGCTGATCCACCCGCTCAATGGCTGCATTTGTGAACAGTCTTGTTGTTTGTGTGGTTTCGTCAGGATTAAAATTAGCATCCGAGGCTGTGTCTGGGGAGCCTGAACCTATGGCTGTTGAAGTGGCTGATCCACCTGCTCAGTGGCTGTATTAATTGTGAACAGTCATGTTGTCTATGATGGTTTTGTCAGGGTTCCCACTATAGTAGCCGAGGCTGTTTCTGGGGAGTCTGGACATGGACCTGCTGTGCCTGCCGCTGTGGCTGTTGCTCACCAGGTGGTGAGTGTGCCTGATCCACCTGCTCAGTGGCCGATTTGTGAACAGTCATGTTCTTTTGAGATGGTTGTGTTAGGGTTCCCTTGTGTCCTAAAACATCTGAGGCTGTGTCTCGGGAAGAACAATTGTGTGCTCGGGAGAAGAGAAAGGCGGAGGCAGCTGAAAAGAAAGCTAAGCAAGCAGAAGAGAGGGAGACGAAAAAGCTTCGGACAGCTGCTAAGAGCAAACCCAGCAAAGCAGCTGAAGCCCTAGCAGCAGCCACTGAGCCTGAGGAGAGTAGTGCACGTGGGAATGATGAGCAGGCTGCTGGGAACCAGGAATCATGTGCAAAAACAGAACGTGGCCGTGGGCGCGGCAGGGGTGGCCGAGGTAGAGGGCGGCGACCTGCAGATGAAGCTGAAGCCGCAGCCGAGAGTAGTGCACATGAGAATGATGAGAAGGCTGCTGAGCCCAAGGAGGGGAACAAGGAATCATGTGCAAAAACAGGACGTGGCCGTGGACGTGGCAGGGGTGGCCGAGGTACACGTGGTCAGGGCAATGGACGTGGAAGGGGAGGCAAGAAGAGTAAGGCAACACAGGATGAAAACAAGGCCCCACCCAGCAAAAGGCTCCGGGGCAAGCAAGGTGCCAGCGAGGCACCCACGGAAGAGCCCAAGACCATCAAGAGGAGGAAGAAGAATGATCTCGTCAAGATTTTGGAGGAAGGGAAAGCCAGAGCAGCGAGCAAAAGGGCAGCAAGGGAGCAGGGCATCTCCCCTGAAGAGGAAGTGCTTTGATTGATATCAGAGAAACCGTGTAGTTTTGTCGTTTGTGGCAAGGGTTTCAGATAGTGAGTGCAAACCGTCATAAATGGGTCCATCGATGTGAGTCCGCATGTGTGCTCTGATATGTAAAGGAAAAATCCCGGTGCAAAGCTTTGATCCTGAAGACCAATGGCATCCTCCAAAATTATACGTTGATGGCTTACTGGTCACGGCCTGGTGTTGGCATCAAGGAGAATGATGGAAGCAAGCAGGCTATCATGAACTATGCCGTACTTCATGGTAGTTCAAGATTAACTTTGTGTTCTGTTCCCATGCTAATTATGACTTGAATTATGCTTGATGCAGGTTTTCTACATTGGAACGAAGGGTGTGCCCCTGACCCACATGGTGGATGCTGCTGTGGCATGTGTGCTTCAGCTGTTCGGTCAAGCCTTGTGGAGGTATACAGTAACAGATCATTGCACGTCCTGAATTGTGCTGGCCTAGGCAAAGTTTATGGATGAACACGGTGGCGAGGATGACAACCAAAGAACGGCCCAGTTCATTTATGCGAAGAAGCAGGAGATCAAGGATTTGGCAACGAAGTGGGAGCTTCCGAAGCTGTCCAAACGTGGCAAAGTCACGTCTTGATGTTCGGCTGCTAGAGCGCTTTTTGGGGGCCAATGAGCTGGCTGAATCATGATAGATGTGCTTAGACTGCTTGTACGGGTTTCATGTGCATAGCCTGGAGTGTGAAGATTGCTTTGGTCCCATATGGGCTGGCCTGGTGAAAGCATGTTGCTACAGAGGCTTAAGGCCACAACATAACTAAAAGTAGCCTTGGGTTGCTTGCATGGCAATCTTCCACTGCAAAGCACATGACTGGGAAACAGGCTTGCAACACGTCTGTTGCCGATGCAGCTGGTGACTTTTCGTTCCATCGCAAGCAGAGTGACTTGTGAGATTCAAACAGTGTGATTCCGTGCAGCCATGCTAAAAAAGTGCTTTATGTTTGGAGATGACATTCTTTCGATTCAAACACAGTTCTGCTGCAATGCCCTACGGAAGCATGTGCACCTTGATCCTGCTGCCTTGCATTATGGGTCGATTCGCAGGTCNNAGAGGCTGGGTTTGTGCAGTAGTGCCCTGCAGTTGCTTCTGATGCTTGTGGGTCAGTGCTATTGGGCTTCCTTGGTGCTACTGCTATAGTCATCTTTCGGTAGAAAGCACATGTGTGGAGTCTGTTTTGCAGGTCTTCATGGATCTATGCCCGTGCCAAAGTCCCTCAAGGGCCGAGTGCTGGAGTCTACGATTGGCCAGGCAAAACCCAGCCTTCGACCAACCGACATGGTTGCTCTGGTTTCTTAAGGGTTTTTGCAGGTGGGTGCATGGGGCTGCAAACATGATACTTCTGTTGCATCAGCGAGTTTAGCTTGAATGTTTGTTTGCATATCATACACATATGTATGTATGTATGTATGTATGTATGTATGTATGTATGTATGTATGTATGTATGTATATGTATGTGTGTATGTGTATTTATATTTATATATATATATATATGGGTTTTATAGGGGTTTTAAGGTTCATATCGATACAGGGTTCTAGGGGATGTTTATAAGGCTTCTCAGGCCCTGGGGGTTTCTGTATTTCTGTGTTTTTTTTGTCTTGGTGTGTGTCAGCTTGGGGAGCTTGGACTGTTGTTGGCATGTTTTTGCTTAGAAAGGGTCTCGTACTTGAGTCGGGTTATTTTACACTCGCAGGTACATGAACTATGGGTCCACAGACACCCTAAACCCGATATAGAAACCCTTATAAACCCTAGAAAACATATCAACCTTTGCAAGAACCTTATAATATAACCCTCTAAGGCCTATATAGCTAAACAAAGTCTATACAATTACACGCAGTGTGCAGGTTGCCTATTCATCTGAATAATGTTGCATTCAATGCACTTTCGCTGTGCTCGAACACCGGGAAGCCTATGATCCAACCATGATCCCAGCTTTGCGATGAGGGTAGCATCTTTACATGGGTATAGGCGGTTCTGTTGGTGCTTTGCAGGCTTTCTGGTATTCAATATCATGGGACTTATATACAAGTAGATGGGGGTTTTTAGGAAGGTAGGTGTGTATTGGCAATTCTATTGATCGATGGCTTACAAGCCCTACAAGGGTTCTTAAGGATATATAGGGGTTCTAGGTTAGTGTGTGTATATGGGCGGCTCCACTGATCGGGGCTTATAAGGCCTACAGGGTGGCCACAGCCATGTGGAGCGATGACAAAGTCCGTGTGCTCTTCCATAGACTCCAGCAGCTGCACGCGCCGAAGGTAGGTGGATGAAGCCTGCATACAGTACAGGTTGTATGCATTCTACCCCACTCCAACTCTAACCTATCACACGCAGGTTCTGCTCTTGGCCATTTTACTTCTGATATGGTCAGACAATGTTCCAATCCAGACAGATGACACTTTGGTAGCAATGAGTTCTGGCTACTGGGTAAGACCAGCTAGGCAGTTATTGTGGGATGCCAGTTTCATCACCCAGGCACTCGAATGGCTGGAATACTTTGCAGGGGCTGCACAAGTGACTCGGCACGTCAAAGCATGTGGCTACAGAGGCTGCAAGTTCGATATTGAATATGGCACATCATACAAGCAGCACAACTACATGGATCTGCTCACGCCTTCCGGGATGGCGCCACTCAGCTCCATCATGATCAGAGCCTCAAATCCCAGAAACCATGATGTCAGATCGCTTACTAGTGCTGCTTTAGCTGCATGAGGCTTGCGATGGCTGGAGTCCTCTCAGCTGTGCAGGGCAACTGTGTCGTGTGGTTTGGGCTTTTGTGCTCGAGTTTCACGAGAATGAATATGGGTTTCTCCAAAAGATCTTACTTGGTGCCTCTGGGGAATACAGCTCAGCGAAGTGTTGCTGAGTCGAATGTTCTGGCATCCAGGAGATTCAAGCAATGTCTGTAGTGCTGTGCCTCGACTCTTGTGTCACTCAAGTTGTACTGTGTGGCCCAGGACTTGCCTGCTCGTCATGATGGTTCTGGCTTTGAATGGAGTGTTCATAATCGAACAGCCAGCACTCTCCTGGTTCGAATATTTTCCTCGCTTCAGAGAGCTGTGCAAGATCACCCCAGTTTGGAAAGTATCTTGGTATATGCTGCACTATGGGTCCCCCACACCGAAGAGACACCATGCTTACTCTAATTCAGCTTGCATTCGCCACTTCAATCGTGGCAAATTAAGAGGCTGGAAGAAGAAGGTGTTGCCAGGAGCTCCGAAAACTGCCCGATACTATACAGATGCCAAAGGAAAGAAACGATGGGTCGGGACCAAGCACCTGAAGGGGTCAGGGTCAGGGGCTGAGTATTGCATACGGTAGTTTTGCTACGCTTGCAGTCCGAACTAACGGGGGGCAGTGTGTATTATGTGGCTAGCAACTTAAGGACCTATCCGGCGCAATTTGGTGCTCGAGTGGCTTCTCTCATCGAGGAGCTGAACGAGTCCAAGAAATCCTTCGATGCTGAGATTTCAGCCCAGGCTCTTCTGGATTTGGAATTAAGGTCATCCTTCCGGTTCTGAGGCTCCTAACCCTAATTTAAGCTTTGTAAACCACCCCAAGCACTGACTAAACTAA